AAAAACAGATAAATAAAATACATAAAATAGATTTGTCTATGAAAATAATGGTTTTCGGATCATAATGGAATCTTTTTTTTTTTCGGATTATGTTTCACCCTGCAAAAAGTAATAAAAATGTCAGTATAACTACAAAATGCAATGTTCTTGTTACTATTTTACATTGAATACCAGTCTAATTAAATTAACTGCTACTTTTTAAACTAACTGGCTGTTGGTGTTTTGTTGCTGTCATGTGGTCATGGTGGTGTTCGTCGTTATGACCGTGATCATGGTGAGCCTTTTCTTTATGATGATTGTGCTCATGGTTGTCATGTTCATGGTTGTAGTTGTGTTTTTGATGGTCTTATTCATGTTCATAATCGTGTTCATGGTAGTCCTGGTCATGTTGGTGATCATCAAGGTGATCATGGTAGTGTTGGCCATGCTCCTCATGGTGCTGGGTGTGATCATGCTGGTGGTGGTGATTGTGGTGCTGATGGTGTTCATCTTTGATGTTGTGTTGGTCATAGTGGTCATGATCATCATGGTGATGGTCATAGTCATCATGGTGGTGGGTGTGATCATGCTGGTGTTGGTGATCTTGGTGGTCATGGTCATCATGGTTGTGGTCATAGTCGTCATGGTGGTGGGTGTGGTCATGGTCATCATGGTGGTGGTCATGGTGTGCATCTTTGTAGTTTTGTTGGTCTGGGTGGTCATGTTTGTGGTTGTGGTGGTCATGGTGGTCATGGTTGTGTTGGTGTTGCTCATTGTAGTTGTGGTGGTGGCCACTGTAATGGTGTTGTTTGTGATGGTGGTCATGGTGAGACATGTGGCAGTAATGTCCATGGCAGTTTTGGTCATGAATGTGGTCATGGTCATAGTCGTGGTGATGGTGGTTGTGAGAGTGATCATAATGCTTATGCTGCTTATTGCTGTTGTGCTGGTGTTTATGGTAATTTCGGTGGTGGTGGCAGTGGTGGCCAAGACTACCATAAAATGAGTTCCAAATATTGTGGTAAAATGAATTAATTTGATTTGTGACATGGCAATTGTTATTTGTACAGTTGGAAGGATGTGCAATGTATTCTGTCACACTCTGGTCACCTGTAAAAAAAATAGAAAAGTTGTTCAACACATTCAGTTACAAACAGTTCACAGGTAAGTTATCTGTTGGCGTGTTGAACATTAGTTCAAAGAAAAGTATGTTAGCAAGTTGCAATCCATTCTCACTCCCGAGTCGTCACATATTGACGCTTTTCCAAAGTTCCCTCTGCGTCCGATTTTGACGCATCGGGTACTCCCATTGCGTCTTTTTTGACGAGATGGGGCGGAGTCTGTTGTTATAATTTCTGAAAGTGTAGAAAATGCACAAAAACTACCGTCCAAAAGCCAAAAAATACCTTCATTCACTTTAGACATCCTGTCCCTGACCCTAGTACCTAAAATTAACCATTTTTAGAAAATGTAGGAAATTCACGTCAACTACGTGTTCCAAAGCCTAAAATTACCTAATTTTCGCTGTAGACATCCTATCCCTGACCCCAGTACCTAAACTTAACTATTTATCCTGATCCCTCATGTTAACCTCAGATCCCCGACCCAAAGACCCCTGGTGGCGCAACCCGGAAAAGCCGCGGGCGGCAAAGACTGACGCGAGGGGTTCACCCGACTCGTCAAAATAAGACACAGAGGGAACTTTGGAAAAGCGTCAATATGTTGACGAGTCGGGAGTGAGAATGTGTTACAAGTCGTGTACTGTGTGTAGAGACTTACTTGGATTGTAATAATCATAGATGATGACTGTGGATGGCTTCAGTTGCAGTACCACATCCTGAAGAACCAGTTGTAACTTGTGGTACACAGGTATGTCTTTATGTAACTGAACAAAACAAATCTCATATTAACAAATGGTAATAATCTCAAAAAGCATCATAATTCTGAGTTTATCTCACCTCCCATAAGTATAAAATAACATGACCATCCTTATATTCAACATTTTTCACCAGCACACCACTTTTGAGCTGCAAGGAGAAGATATTCAGCATAAAAATAATCTTACACTTAGACAATTTTATGCAACATTTCCATTTAGATCAGACACTATTAACTCACATCCCACAAAGATTCTGGAACAGGACAAAATCCAGAAGGTAATGCAATATCAAGGATCACCATGTTTGTACAGCTACTGTCTCCTTGGTATCTTTAATGACACAATAAAAACATGCTGTTACTTGCTTGTTCTAAGCACAGTCTATCTTCGAATAGATTTTGCGGTAATCAGGGCTGCCAACCTTTGAGTTTAGGTTTAAATGTTAGGTCACTGAGATGTATAAAAGTTATTTTGAACGCAATCCCTGACCCCTTTCCAAAAAAATATTTTATTCTATATATTCTATTCTAAAACACAATAGGAGTAGAGACTGGTATGCTTACTGTAAGAGGACCAGTTTTGATTAACACAACAGATAACATTGATAACAGTTAAAGTTTGTATGTAGTTTGAACAAAATGCAGTGTTTCCCCTAGGAAATTGGTCTTGGGGTGGTGGTGGGAGGGCTACTTGTTTTATAAAATCATAAATTTACATGACTCACCTACAATTATGGTAATAAATTTACACATACATGAATATTTAATTGCCTAACTACATCCTAGTTAAGGACTCCTCATGATAATTATCAATAAAATGATTATTGATAATAAGTGATCAGAACTGTGTGCAGCAGATGATATGAGTCCAGAGTTCTCAGTTTGAAACCTTCTGGAGCTCTTCTGTGTGACTCTAGGTGTGACAGAGTGTGGATGGTTGATTGTCTCTTTTGTGTCCCTGATGGAGACTGGAGACCTGTCCAGGTGTCTCTGGTGAACTGGAGACCTGTCCAGGTGTCTGGTGAACTGGAGACCTGTCCATGTGTGTCTGGTGAACTGGAGACCTGTCCATGTGTCTCTGGTGAACTGGAGACCTGTCCAGGTGTCTCTGGTGAACTGGAGACCTGTCCAGGTGTCTCTGGTGAACTGGAGACCTGTCCAGGTGTCCCCTGCCTTCACCCAAAGGCAGCGAGGACAGGTTCCAGCCCCACCCTGACCCTGATTAGGAACAAGGAGGACAGGAGGAGGATTTTTCTTTATAGCAGGAAACAGACATTTAATTATAAAACAGGATTTATTTCATGTTAATCTGAATCAGTTTAGTGTTGTTTGTAAATATATTTGACAGTTTTGTAGGAATGAACASGTTTGTAATGTTTGTTCAAAATAAACCTGCTTCTTATGACTTCTGTAACATGTTTTAAATAAAATATTATCAGTAAAAACCTCAAATCATGTCCTTTCTAATAATTATTAGAACTAGAAGAACTGTAACTTTGCAGAGTTTCTCCCAGGATTTTTTTAACCATGGTGGTGACCTTTCATGTGGGGGGTTTGACAAAATCTGGTTGTCCTCAAAACATTTTGGTTGTTCAAAAGATATCTCAATAAAAACATAATTTAATAAGTAGGTTATTGTTCTGACCCCTTATGATGACTAAAAACTTTGGATCTGACATTCCCTCGCCCGGACGCGGGTCACCGGGGCCCCCCTCTGGAGCCAGGCCTGGAGGTGGGGMACVATGGCGAGCGCCTGGTGGCCRGGCTTTCACCCAYGGAGCCCGGCCGGGCTCAGCCCGAAGAGGAGACGTGGGTCCCCCTTCCAACGGGCTCACCACCTGTGGGAGGGGCCAAAGGGGTCGGGTGCAATGTGTAATGAGCGGCGGCCAAAGGAGGGGACCCGGGCGGTCTGACCCTCAGCTGCAGAAGCTGGCTCTTGGGACGTGGAACATCACCTCTCTGGTGGGGAAGGAACCGGAGCTAGTGTGCAAGACTGAGAGGTTGCGGGTAGAAATAGTCGGCCTCACCTCGACGCATGGCTCTGGTTCTGGAACCAGTCTCCTTGAGAGGGGCTGGAAGTACTTCTACTCTGGAGTTGCCTGCGGTGAGAGGCGCCGGGCAGGAGTGGGCATACTAGTTGCCCCCCATCTTGGCGCCTGTACGTTGAGGTTTACCCCGGTTAACGAGAGGGTAGCCTCCCTCCGCCTACTGGTGGGGGGATGGGTTCTGACTGTTGTCCGTGCCTACGGGCCGAACAACAGTTCAGATTACCCACACTTCTTGGAGTCCTTAGAGGGTGTCCTGGAGGGTGCCCCTCCTGGGGACTCCCTTGTTCTGCTGGGAGACTT